TCCTTTCTTGGGCTGGCCAACTATGATAGGAAGTTCGTTAAGAATTTCTCTTCCATAGCTACCCCAATGAGGAGGTTTATGAAGAAATAAGTTATTTGGCTTTGGGATAAAGACTGTGAGTCTGTGTTTAGAAAGTTGAAGTATGCGCTCACTCACTATCATGTGTTGAAGACTGCAAACCCATCCTTGCCTTTTGTTGTGACCATTGACCCAAGTCAGTACGGGATTGGGGTTGTACTGCAGCAAAATGATAGGAAGGGTTACCAACCAATCGAGTTCATGTTCTACCAACTCCCTTCAAACAAAGTAGCAAACTCGACCTATGAGATAGAACTATTTGCACTGTTGCAAGCTCTATTGACATGGAACCACTACCTCTTAGGTAGGGACTTCAAAGTCTACTCAGACCACGAGACCCTTAAGTGGCTTAAGACGCAACCTCGTCTTACTGACAGGCTTGCCAGATGGTCGGCTATCATTGATACCTACGATTTTGAGTTGAAAAGCATAAAGGGCAAGTATAATGTGGTAGTTGACGCTCTCTCACGCAGGAACGACTTCTTTGGAACAATTGTCACCTACTTAGACGTGGGAAATGACCTGAAGGATAAGATTCGAAAAGGATATGCCACTGATCCAATCTGGCAACCTATTATAGATAATCTAAAATCCAATCCTGAGCGTTTCCCTAACCACCGAATGGCAGATGAAATACTTTTCTTCATTGATGGAAATCAGCAAAGAATTTGTGTTCCACATAATGAAACTACAAAGAGTCTAATTCTTGGTGCGTGCCATGACACAGCGGGACACTTTGGGTTCAAAAAGAGTTTTGCCAATGTCCGAGAACACTTTGTTTGGCAAGGAATGAAGAATGGCACACTAACGTGCGTGAGAACTTGTTTTGTGTGCCAGCGCAACTAGCCATCCCACAAGAGTCCCTCTGGACAATTGAGACCACTACCGATTCGTGAAAGACCACGTGAGTCCATTTCGATCAACTTCATGAGCCTAACTAAAAGTCGAAATGGAGACAGTCAGGTAATGGTAATAGTGGACCGATTCTCTAAGTACGCTATGTTTGTACCCTTGCCCGTTGAGGCAAGAACATAACTTGTCATTCAAAAGTTTCATATGCGATGGGTTTCGAAGTATGGATTCCCTACAACCATCGTGTCGGACAAAGATGTGAGATTCACCGGAGAACCTTGGCGGAAACTGATGGAAGCTTACGACACCAAATTGACAATGTCGTCAGGACGACATCCTGAGACTAACGGCCAAACCGAACAAACAAACCGGTTGTGCCAGCAACTCCTAAGGATGTATGTGCATCCTCACCAGATTGACTGGGATGAGAACCTACCCAAGATTGCAAGTACACCCAATTCACTGCACAAAGGATGGCAACTTCTGAGACCGATTGACTCTCTCACGCGAGATCAGATCCAAAGGCTGCCCCCAAGAACCCCATAATTCACAGTTCTCTATGAGCAAGACATTGAAAAAGCAAAAGAGAATATAAGGAAAGCCCAACAGAAAATGATTGAACAGGCAAACAAACATAGAAGGCCTGCACAATTCAAAGAAGGAGATAGGGTTTGGGTTAAATCCAACGAATTTTCACTTGAGGAAAATGTCGCAGAAACTACTACCCGTCTACTATGGACCCTGGAAGTTCTCGAAGTTTTAGGGGACGACGGTGGACCTTCCTACCAAATTGACATTCCCCCTCATATAAAGACCTACCCAGTCTTTCACTCATCTAAGTTGTTACCCTATGCTGAAGGACAGGAATTCCCAAGTAGACCGTCTTTGTTTCCTCCTTTAATGGACGGTGGGTACCAAGTAGAGAAAATCATTGAACACACGTTTTTCTCCAGTGGAGCTAGAGTAAGACCTCAAAAGCAATACAAGGTAAAGTTTTCTAATTAATCACCATTTGAAGCTCGCTGGTTTAGTAGAAGAGAACTCTTACCTACCGCTCCTGATATTGTCTCTACATACGAGAGAGGTTTGCGAATTCAAGCCTAAAATTGAATTTCTGCGGTGGAATTTGAAATCGGCCAGGATGGAATGTTGTAACTCTTGTGCCAAAATTGGACCGCTGGGCTCAGATTGCGACCTCAACATTGCAGGACATTGTTATCTCACGACATCGCTATCTGACGACATGATTGTTTGTCGAGACTGGGCTCATTACATCACAACTGTTGCCTGAGAGTCGCATCAAAATTCTTTGCCAAATTAAAGATAAAATCAAATTAAAAGAAAAAATATATATTTTTATTTTTTTATTCATGTTTGGCCTGGCAAGGCACTGATCCCAGGCCACTCTGGTAGTGAAGGCACCACGTCCTTAGAAAAACTTGAGGATTACTGTCACATGCATTCATATCTTGCCTAAACCTCACATGAGGATATTTTCATTATTTTATAGGAGTAACTACGACGCCATCACGTTTTCAGTTCTACATCCACTTCAGGACCTTCAAGCATCCCTCGAATACAATACATCCCCACCCAACCCTAAAGTTGGGTGGGATACATTCATGATTTCCCTCGTTTTGGAGCGAAATTCGTGAAAACCGTGACTGAAACGCATTTGAAACTAAAACCTTGACTACACTGTAGTTTTCTTAATTAAACTTCCGGGTTGTCCGAAATTCATGATTAAATTAAGTTAAACTTTATTAAAGTTAATTTATAATTTAATAATCTTTTTATTATTAAATTTTAAAATTCCATTAATTAATTATTTTATAATTTTCCCAAATAACTCGAAAAAACTTCAAAAAAGGTGATTTAAGTTCATTTAACCATTTAACTTTACGTAAGTTGATTTAAGTCATAAGGAATTAACTACTGATCTTCGTCCACCGGCCCAGAAGAGCAATCAAGGTCGAAACCAGGGTTTCCCAGCATGTGAACTTGTGAACGGCCTTGGGAACAATTTTTTTTTCTAAACTTTTTTTGAGCGATACATTCCGAGTACTTAAGCAGGTGTAGGTTTTCGCGCATTTGCAGCACCTCGGCAGGGGTACAGTCTTCGCAAAAACCTACACTACTGTGTTCACCCAAAAACAACATACGGTGATTACAGCTTTATTTGGGGCAACTTTCAGTCTAGATACGTGAACGATGACCGCACATTGTATTCGGCTGAACACGGAAGGCAGAAACTCAGAAACGTCAATTTTCAAAAAATATTCTAAAATAGTGGTTGGGTGGGGAGTTAAACGTGCCACTAACACATTGCTAATTAAAATTTGAAAGTTCGAAAGAATCAAAATTGACATTTGTGCGAATACATCCAGAACAAAAGATATACAGAAATACAGATGCAGATGAACACACACCGGAAAAAAAAAAAAAAAAAAAAAAAAAAAAAAAAAAAAAAAAAAAAAAAAAAAAAAAAAA